GTTCGAATCCCAGTCCAGGGGGCGCTGTCGGTCCGCCCTGCCACGCCCGGGTACCAGCTTCAGTCCGGCCCTGATGGCCACGGGTTCTGACCCGTGTGCAAAGTTTCAAGAGTTTTAGAGGATGTTAAGAGCCCCAAAAGCCCCCGAAACCTTGATCAACAATAATTAAAAGCTTTGTCACTCAAACAGACACATCCCCCTCCCCCCACAGACACAGAGGTATGCAGAGAGAGGGAGAGAGGGACAGAGATTACTCCAAAACATCCCATTCAAACCAAAATATCTGACTTCCTGTTGTTCGGAACCAAAAACTGTAAATTAGAAAGTTGTCCGGCTTGATCTGAACAATATGCCTACCGAGTTTTAAGATTGCAGGTAAAACTATGAAACTAACCCTCTCACTTTTGTCAAAAGGTGGCGCTACTGAGTCCCTGCACCACGCCCGTTCCTGAAACTTTGCACATGTCTACTGGCTAATATATGTGACATGTCTGTCGAGTTTCATGCAATTTCAAGCATGCTAAGAGTCTCAAAAGCATCAAAAAATAATTTTAAAGTTTGATGTGTTGCCACGGCAACAGTATCAAAGATATCAAGAATCCATTCACAGGTCTACATCTGGCGTATGTTTACATTATACAGATGAAGTTTGAAGCAAATTGGGTTAAAATAAGAGGGTGATTTCGAAGCATTTTGAAAGTGACACACTTCCTGCTGCCAGTTGGTGGCGCTATAACTTTGACTCACAATAGTCACATCCATGTGATCGGCCTCTTACAGCGAACACACTGGTGAAGTTTCATCAAGATCAGTTAATGTATGCAGAAGTTATAACACACTTCCTGTTTCACGTTTCTCGCCATAATTTCGTTTCCCCGCCACGGCCAAACCGTTCGAGATATCAAAAATCCCCTCGCAATTTTTCATCCTCAATGTCTTGACTTCATGCTGACCGAGTTTCGAGGCATTTCTTTGAATTCTCTAGGAGAAGTACTTTAAATTCCATTGCATGCGTTTTACAAACAACCCTAAATAGCCGACTTCCTGTTGGGCTGGGGTAAAAAGTAAGAGCATGAAGTATATATGAACCGATGAGATCTATATGTGTACCGAGTTTCATATTCTTACATACAAGCGTGTTTGATTTATGGACCAAGTTTTCGGACCCCGTTCCAGGGGGCGCTGTCGAGCCCCCCTGCCACGCCCGGGTACCATCTTCACCCCGACCCTGATGGCCGCGGGTTCTGACCCGCGTGCAAAGTTTCAAGAGTTTTCGTGCACGTTAAGAGCCCCAAAAGTGCCCGAATAGTCGTAAGAAAAATAAAAGAGGAGAAAAAAAAAAAAAAAAAAAAAAATAATCCTAAGGAAAACAATAGGGCCTTCGCCTTTTCAAGGCTTGGGCCCTAATAATCCTAAGGAAAACAATAGGGCCTTCGCCTTTTCAAGGCTTGGGCCCTAAATATGAGGTTACCACCTTCCTTGTATACCATTAATAACTCTAAGAAGAACAACACAGTTCTGCTACAGTATATTAATTCAAAACTGTAAAAATCATGTTGTTTTTACAAAACAAAAATGTGGCAGCTGTGGTTGCCAATGTATAAATGTAAACATATTTACAGAACAAACTGTACATTTTACAGTATAAAACTGTCATTTACAAACAAGAAAACTTCAATTTAAACCAATGTAAATTCAACAGTGCACACTACTGGAATCTGTTTTGTAGCTTTAACATATACTGACAACCAGCGTAATAATGCAGGCGGCAAAAGAGGAAGCCACATGAAGAATCATGAATAAAAACTGCAAAGAGTCATTCATGCACACACAAAACGCCATCATAGTGACACACACGACTCTTGAATAAAGCAATTCATTAAACAACAGAAGATGTAACATAAAACCCAAATGTACATAACTGATAACAAAAACTATAAAGAACTGTCAGTTTACAGTTATTAATTTTAATATTTGGGTTTTTTCACTGAAAACACTTTGCGTTTTTACAACATTTTACTGATAGAATTACTCTAATTTGTTACTTCCAAAGTTTGTAATTAAATAAATGATTTTAGTATCACTCAGTTTCACTGGACCTTGTAAGTAATCACACATTATACAGTAATTGGCAAAATATGAAAAACATTAACAATGAATATAAACAAATTGTGTAAAACAGTCATATTTTTATATTATATTATATATATTGGTTGAACTATTAAGTTTGATAAGCCAATGTGTAAACAAACATAATGAAACAGTTAATAATAAAAGACAATAAAAAAAATACTACTAATAAAAAAATGCCTTAAATATGCCTTAAATGTCTTAAATATCAGACCATTATTTTAAAAAATATCACAGCATAATAACTTGAACAGGAGATTTCTCAGAAAATGCATTAAAAGTTTCGAAGAAGAGTGACACTTACTGGAATCCATGTTCTTCAAGGGTTTTAACGAGCCTCAGGATAATTAAAAAATGAAGGTAGCAACAGCCAGATCTGTCAGTATCTCTCATACACACCAACACAACGTGTAACAGCCAGCTCAACATCCTGACACACACACACACACACACACTTATATATATCAGGGGTTTTCTGCTATCAGCTTCTGCACAGAAGGCATGGGAAATGTGTGGATCTGCTGTGTAAAGTTGCTGTCAATCATGACAACTACTTTACTGAAAAAACAAACCCCACTGTTTCTAACAAATGTCCTCTGGGTGGCGCTATAGACGTCAAGCTTACTCATCTCCACAAAACAGCATCACTGCTTGACCAAAGTCACTCATGGTCAAGACACTTGACCAGCATACGATCACATTTTCATTCCATCAAAACTTCCATTAAAAATGTATGATTGTATTTCCTCCTAGTTTTCAAACTACATCCACCAATCAGTACAGGTCTGACTACAGGCAGAACACCTAACCAACCAGCCAGAACACCCTAAAACAACCAGCTAGATCACACTAGTAATCAGCCAAAACGCCCTAGCAACACCTTAACCACCAGCCATAAATCCTAACAACCATCCAGAACACCCAAACAACCTGACAACCAGCTAGAACACCCTAGCAATCAGCTAAAACGCCCTAGCAACACCTTAACAATCAGCCAGAAATCATAACAACCATCCAGAACACCCTAACAGTCTGCAAAAAACCCTAGTAACCAGCCAAACCACATTAGCAACATCCTGACAACCATCCAGAACACCCAAACAAGCAAAAACAAGAACCATCCAGAACACCCAAACAACAAACAAAAACAAGAACCATCCAGAACACCCAAACAACCAGCAAGAACTCCCTGTCAACCAGCAAGAACACCCAAACAACCAGCAAGAACACCCTAAAACAACCAGCTAGATCACACTAGTAATCAGCCAAAACGCCCTAGCAACACCTTAACCACCAGCCATAAATCCTAACAACCATCCAGAACACCCAAACAACCTGACAACCAGCTAGAACACCCTAGCAATCAGCTAAAACGCCCTAGCAACACCTTAACAATCAGCCAGAAATCATAACAACCATCCAGAACACCCTAACAGTCTGCAAAAAACCCTAGTAACCAGCCAAACCACATTAGCAACATCCTGACAACCATCCAGAACACCCAAACAAGCAAAAACAAGAACCATCCAGAACACCCAAACAACAAGCAAAAACAAGAACCATCCAGAACACCCAAACAACCAGCAAGAACACCCTGACAACCAGCAAGAACACCCAAACAACCAGCAAGAACACCCTGACAACCAGCCAGCACACCTTAGCAACACCTTAACAACCAACCAGAAATCATAACAACCATCCAGAACACCCTAACAGTCAGCAAAAAACCCTAGTAACCAGCCAAACCACATTAGCAACATCCTGACAACCATCCAGAACACCCAAACAACAAGCAAGAACAAGAACCATCCAGAACACCCAAACAACCAGCCAGCACGCCTTAGCAACACCTTAACAACCAACCAGAAATCATAACAACCATCCAGAATACCCTAACAATCAGCAAAAACACCCTAGCAACCAGCCAAACCACATTAGCAACATCCTGGCAACCATCCAGAACACTCAAGCAACTGGCTAGAACACCCTAGCAACACCCTGCCCCTAACAACCATCCAAAACACCCTAGCAACCATTCAGAAGACTATAGCAACCACTTAGCAAGGCAGTCGCTTCAAACTTCAAAACTCTTTTCAAACTTCCCAAAACAAAACTCTAAACAAAGAGTCACTAAAGAGCATTTAACACATTGTGTAACTCCTGCGTGACTGACTGAAGGTTAAAACAGTACAATAACTATTTAAAACAGCTTTTGTCTCTGTCATTCCTGCCTTTGTGTCTCATTAAGGAACAAACAAACAAACACACACACACACACACACACGTTCACACACACACTTTACTGTGCAGCTGCAGCTGTTCACACAGATGGAGCCTGGAAGGGTGAGTTTGATCTAAAACTGAACAAAAATAACAAATCTAAAAAGCATAGACATAGATTTTTAACTCTTGAGAGTTTGAAAGGGGAAACATAATATAACTAACTAGAAATACAAAGCAACCTGCTTCACAGTTATCTGAATAACCTTGAGCTCCTGACCTGGCTATTTCTGTCCCAGACAACAACACAACATAACTGTGGATGAAGTTATGCTGATACACAAAGAGTAAATCGCATACATTTTTTATAACACTAGGATTATACAATTACTTATAATAGTCCGGTAGAAATATCTATTATATAGGCCTTTTAATTCTATTAATTATTATTTTAAATCTATAAATAGGCTATTTTAACATAAATAAGTGGTTAAATATCCCGCAGTGAATCATTTTCATAAATCTATTATTGATCAAGCGCAGCACCATGGACAGAATAAAATCAATGACTGCATGATGTCATGTGCTCTTCTAAATACAGTATTTTCTCCTTTCTTTTGTTAACAGTTACAATATCCTAAAAATATTACCTTCTTTCAGCTTCTTTTTGCGAGATAACGTTCCTCCCAGTTTTCCCAGCAGCGACTCATCCTTCTTCATCTTGCCCGGCTGGCCGGTCGCTCTCGTCGGATTGGCGGCCATCTGATCTTCGGCTTCTGTCACAGAACCGGAGAAGTGAGAAGAATGGAAATTAGCATTGTCTATAAGGGGCGGGGCGTAGTGGCTAAAATAATTATTTTACTATTTTAATTCTTTACCATGTGTTTTCAATTCAGTAGTTACTAAAATCACTCAGTGTCATTTTTTCATGTGCAAAATATTATCTAGATCGGTGCTAAAGATAGGCGGCGATGTCACGTGGTAACTGTTACTCTTCTCATCGATGATCAACACAGACTAATCATTTACACAAAATTATTATTTTTTGTTTGTTTTATTTAGAATAATTGATTTGTCTGTGTTTATTGGGTATTTATACCGTAATAATTAATTTAGTCATTAATACCTTAATTTCATTATTCATTTAGTCAGTTTGACAGGAATGAAAATAAAGCCGTGAACAATAGAAATAGTGTTTTCAATGGATTGTACTACATGTCAGTTGTTTAGCTGAAAAAACATTTACAACAACAAAAACATTCAGTAGACAAACCCCACAAAACTGTTTGAAAGTTGTGAGTTTTGAAAATAACGTGATCTTGTACAACTGTAAGAAAGACAGCCTATTCAATATGGATCTGTATATATAAATTTAGGTGATTATACCGTTATCGATAATACAAATATCGCCAATAAGACAGAAAAAGTAAATGCGGTTTAACTGAAGATTTTGGCCAATCGGCGTCCCCTACTGGACGACTACTTTTAATGTTAACAGTGTTAGCTGGTAGCATTTGCCACCCAGTAGATTTGGGAAAGCATCACATGCCATGCACAACCATATGGATCATAAATAATACCAGCAAACCACTGAAAAAAAAATGATAATGTACGGAATATCTCTAATACCAAAAGATTGGCTAATAATATCTAATACTGAAAAACAAAGAATCAGAAAGAAATATAACTGTGTAGGCTACTCACCGTTTTCTCTGGGTGTGGTAAAGAATTTATAACACAAAAAATTGATATATAAATAGGCATATAGCAGTAAAAAAGGAAGTATGACCAAACTGTAACTCCTGATATACTTTGAGAGTCAGTCATGGAAAAGTGTTGTAACTAACATCATTCTGTCATCTTAAAGGGATAGTTCACCCAAAAATGAAAATTCTGTCAGTAATTACTCGCCCTCATGCTGTTCCAAGCCCGTAAGACATTCGTTAATCTTCGGAACACGAATTAAGATATTTTTGATTAAATCTGAGAGCTGGATCACTCCTCCATACTAGTCCATAGGCTTCTTCAGGGATTGAACTTGCCGGCCTCGAAAAGTTATTAAAGACATCGTTAAAATAGTCCAAGTGACTACAGTGGCTCAATCTTAAGTTTATCAAGCGACGAGAGTACTTTTTGTGCGCAAAAAACAACAAAAATAACGACTTTATTTCAACTATTCATTTCCTTTTCTGTGGGCCTCGAGTCAGTTCACTACAAGGGGGTAATCCATCGACCGGAAGTTGAAGCCGGCCGGGTGCCGCCATGTTGTAGCAGAACTTCACTTGCGTTAGCATTTCCATTGACTCCCAGTCATTTTGGCGTCACTTTGACAGCGAATAACTTTACATCTGAGGCGTTTAAAGACTCCATTTGTCCATTATTTATTTCTAAAGAAACACGACAATGTATAAAGGGCTCCATTACCTTCTATGTTACATTATGGCCCCGTAGAAACAGATTTAGTAAAAATAGGCTAACGATTGCGTCATAACCACTCGACTCTCTGTCGCGCTGTACAGAAATTACCGTACAGACAGGAGGAGAAGCTCGCAGGCAATCGGGGGACGTCCCATCAAGGGAGAAGCCCATAGATAATGAGTCCATAAAAGCAACGGAATTCTTACTCCTGCTCACTCACGCCAAAGAACTCTTTGCTCAAGTTCCTCGTCTCTGCAAGATTAACATTGGCAGTTTTCACGCACAGCTACTAGAAGATTAACGTCTGTCAGACAGGTTGCTCACGTCATCAAGCTTAGTTTGAGTCGGTTTGAGTCTGCGCGTCAGGAACGGAAGTTCTCAAAAATGGCTAAAAATGGGCTTCAACTGTCTCAACTGAGTTCCAATGAGATCGCTCTGTCCATTTCTTTTACTGTCTATGGTTCACTAGTGTAATAGCGTAAGCTTCTGTTGTTGTACGTCACACGCATCACGCACATGACCAGCGTTAACTGACTAGAGGCCCAAAGAGAAGGACATGAATAGTTGAAATAAAGTCGTTATTTTTGTTTGTTTTTGCGCACAAAAAGTATTCTCGTCGCTTGATAAACTTAAGATTGAGCCACTGTAGTCACTTGGACTATTTTAACGATGTCTTTAATAACTTTTCGAGGCCGGCAAGTTCAATCCCTGAAGAAGCCTATGGACTAGTATGGAGGAGTGATCCAGCTCTCAGATTTCATCAAAAATATCTTAATTCGTGTTCCTAAGATGAACGAAAGTCTTACAGGGTTGGAACAACATGAGGGTGAGTAATTACTGACAGAATTTTCATTTTTGGGTGAACTAACCCTTTAAGACACACTTACAGTCAGACAGATAGAAACAAAACAAAACACAACACAACACAACACAACACACGTCTACCTAGCTATCCAAGATGTCTAAAACTAATCATATTTATTAACCCTAGTTCATTTAGCAGCAAGCAATTTATAATTCATAGCAATTATAATTCGCTTACATCCCCAAATGGAGGTTGTCAGATTTAGCTCACATCTGACCACACACACACACACACACCACGGTCAAACAAAAACTACGGTACCAACAAAGACTGTATCAGGTTTATTTTTAATACCATACAAAATGTTAAAAGTACAAAAAAGTAAAATTTGTCATGATTTTCCATAACTGGACATCAAAATGCAGGCTGTTCAATGTTCAAGAGGCTTCCATCAGCTTTCTGAAACTGCAAAAATTCACAGTTATTCATCTATCCATGTAAGTACATTAAAGCATCAGAAAGTTCACAGAATACATATATTTGACCATATATGAACATAGGCCTGAGTAGATGAGCATATGTGATGTATGTTTTGTCTAATATTTGAGTTAATTCAGTCTCAGTACCTGTGCACCGCAGCAGACCCCAACATTCCTGCCCCAAACCCCTGCGTTTCTGCAGCCTCTGTCTCTGCTTTTCTATCATCTGAACAGCTTCAGGTTTGGGGGCCCCCAAGACCCCGAGGGGGGGAACAGGGGCCCCAGAGAGGGCAGAGACCGTAACCTCCACCAGATCTTTGTCATAGCCCTGAAGACATGCATATATTGTGATTCACTGGTCGTTAAGACACGCATATACTGTAGCTTTACCAGACAGCTTAACCACTATGCCACGTCATGAAACACCATGTGTTGTGTGGAAACCCAATGCTTCTCAGTTAATATTCTGGGCCATAGTGATAAGATGGCATATAACTAAAAATCTATCTATTAAAAATGTTCTATATGTTTATTGTACAGGCCAAAATTCTCATACAGAAAACAAGTATACACAAAATAAATAAATGCATTTAAAATAAATAAATACATATATTTAAAATAAATAATTTCATTCAGTTATTTATTTAAAATGTATTTATTTTAATATTTAATTTTTATTTTTAAATTTATAACAAATAAATACGTAAATAAATACATTTTAAATAAAGGAATAGTTGTTTATGTACTTTAAATTATAAATTTATTTATTTATTTTTAATAAAAAAACAAATACATTTTAAAATAAACTTAGAATTTCATTTAAAATAAATAAATGTTATTTATTTCTTTGTATTTATTTAAAACGCATTTGTTTTAAAAGTTTTTATTTAATTTAAATTTAATAAAAAAAAATCCATTTAAATGAATACATATAAAGCAAATACATTTAAAATAAACTTAAAATAAATAAACTGTGCTCAGTTATTTATTTGAAATGTATTTATGTATTTATTAGTTTTAAAAGTATTTATTTGTTTTACATTTAAAAATAAATAAAATTTCATTCAAAACAATTACATTTAAAATAAATGCATTTAAAACCAATAGAAATATATTTAATGCAAATACCTTTAAAGCAAATATGTTTAGAATAAATAAATAAATACATTTTAAACAAATAAATACTATAGATCAGCGATTCCCAAACTGTGGTCCGCGGACCACTAGTGGTCCGTGAGGGTACTGCAGGTGGTCCGTGAAAAGGCAAAATAAAATATAAAATAATATTTTTTTACCTTCATTTTACCAGGAAATTCCCATAAAAAAGTAAAAAGAATATGTAGGCCTATATTTATATAAAATGTCAATTAAATTGTCAAGTTATTGTGTGATTACTAAAATAGGCTAGTGGCGCTCGGCCGTGACGTTCAAACTCAGTGTCGTCAGAACCACAACATGGATCGGTAGATAGCAACAGGTTAGGTGTGCATTTATTTAGTTGTTTGTTTTTAATATAGGCCTATATTAGACAGACGATACAAAGAGGAAGGGAAAGATGTGGAGGGTGACAAAGGGGGATATTACGTTCATATTGGGCTGGCAAATAAGACTCCAATGGCTTTTCCTTTTGCCAACTTTCTTTTATTTTTAACCTGGAGTAACGTTAGCCCTACTGTGTTTTCATTAAATGTGTATAGGGCAGAGGCAAATATGCTCTCATTATCACATCACATGCCATAGCCTTTATAGGCAGTTTAGGCCTATATGAAACGAAATGTTTATAAATGGAATGAATAAGGCCTGTTATTATTTTAATTTCCAGTTAATGTTAGTTTCTTGATCTCGTGTTTCTGAAATGTTTTGCGGATGTGCTGTTAAAGGGATAGTTCGGCCAAAAATGATATTTAAACCATGCATTACTCACCCTCAAGCCGTTCGAGATGCATAT